CTCCTGTAAAAGGGCAGGCCCGACTGAACCCTACCGCCCCCCTCTGCGCGCGGCTGGACTCGGGTCGACCGGCAGCTCTGGGGCCCGCGCACCGAGGGCCAGGGGGCGGCCTGGAGGCGCGCTCTGGAAGGGGAGGGCGCTCGGGGCAGGGAGGAGCGCTCGGAGCAGGGCGGAGCGCTCTGGAGGGAGCCTTCTGGAAGGGAGGAGCGCCCCGAAGGGAGGGGCGGCCTGGAGGAAGGCTCTGGAATGAAGGCTCTGGAGGGGCGGAAGGCTCAGGAAGGAACGCTTTGGAAGGGAGGAGCGCCCTGAAGGGAGGGGGGCGCCCTGGAGGCGCGCTCTGGAGGGAAAGAGCGCTCGGGGCAGGGGGGAGCGCTCCGGCAGGGAGGGCGCCTGGCACCGCCCGACCCTCCACGCTCGGGCGGGCGCCCAGGGCAGGCGCTTGCGCCCGGCCTCGGGCCCCGGGACCGCGGGCGGCCAGCACATCCGTGTCCGCGCCCTCGCGGTCTGGGTCGGGGCGCGCGATTCGCGATCCCCGCAGACACACGCGGCATCGCACGGGCACGCTCCGCCCACGGCGTCCGCGAAGGCGCGCCCCGCACCCGCGGGGCCGCGGCCCAGAGGCCCGGCCCGCGAGGCCGCGGATACGGATGTTTCTTCGCCCGCGAGGCGCGCATGATGTTGCAGGCCCTGGGACCCGGGCGCTGCACCGCTTCGCTTTTCTACCGGGCGCTGTCGCCCCGCTGCAGTAAGACGGAACCAGGACGGGCATGATGTGACATCGGGGGCAAGGAGAAATCGGGGATCTCTGAGGTCCAGCGGTTCTGGAGGATGCATCCGGCGCCGCGGCCTTCTCAGAGCGCTCCGGGAACGCTCTGAGAGCGCCCCGGAACGCGCTGGAACGGATTGATCCTCGTCCTGGCCCCGTCCAGATCAGGCCCTGGGACCATCGCAGATCGATGCGGCTCGAAGAATGCAGCTGACGGATCGGGTCTGAGGCCCAGGTCGTGGCTCGCCACGATGTTACCATTGTTTCGCGACGCCGTATCTCCGGGGGCGGTCTCGCGGCCCGGTACCTCTGGATCCCCAGGAAGTCCCTGGTCCGTGGCTGGCCCTCCCGGTCGTAGCCCTTGCCCCGCAGCACGGCGAACCTGGGGAAACCAACAAATACAAGCATCGCTGCAGTCAAAACGGACAGAAAGGATGCACGATCAGGAGGCAAGGGCCTTGGAAGGACATGCCGACACTTTTCGAGCGGGGTGCGGCCAACGAAAATGGCCAAGGATGGGCCGAAGGGAAAGGACGCAAGGAAAACCTTGGAATCTCGCTCATCCTTACTATCAATGTTGAGTGTACCATGGTCCTCTCCCAGGGCGATTTAGGACCAAAACTTCGACGCGAAACCGGCCGTGGCGACGAAGCCATCCCAGTAAGCCCAAGACGGCGAACACACCGAAAAAGGTTGCGGCATCGAAATGGCCTCCTGGGGTCCGAGTAGATGCGGTCGGAGGATCGCGCCGCATCGCCGATGCATCGGCGACTCATCGGCGACGTATCTGCGATGCATCGGCGATGCATCGGCGAAGCATCGGCGACGTGGGCGAAGCATCGGCGTGGAGAAAGTCGGGCCCCACATCGCAACACATCGCCGATGCATCATCGGCGACGCGGTACGACCCCCCGAACCCATCAGCTCGGACGCCATCGGGGAGGCCTCGGCATCGGTACAATACCTCTCCTCCCTCCGAGGAAAAGGTGAGACAGGCCATGTCCAGATTTGTTCAACACGAGCGCGTTCCTTTATTTCCGGCGACCATTGCCATCATAGGGGGGGCATGGGGGGGCCTCCCCCCGGCCGTGCGCACGGCAGCAGTGCCCGGAGCGCACTGGGGGGGAGGGGCGTTACGTTATAGGGGGAGGGGGGGAGGGGGGGGGGCCAGGGGCTATAATGCCCTTTGTGCCCCAAGCAATAAAGAAACACGCTCCACGCGGTTCCAGAAGCCCCGACCCTTTTTCCAAGGCTGGCGTTCCGTCCCGAGTCGTTTTTGACGGCCCCGGGTCCCCTGTGATGGGCCCCCCCGCGAGGCCGCAACTCGAGAGAGAAACCTCCGTCCTCCTGGGTTTCCCGGGGCGCCCGGAACACCCGGCGAACGTGGCGCGCCTGGCACGCGTGGCGCACCTCGCCCCAGCGTCGCGCACATGGGGCCTGTCTTGGTTCCCAGCAGCTGCCCATTCAAAGACGACCGCGGAACATGCTGCGTCTCGGGTGCTCCGTATGTGCTGGGAGGGCGGGTGGGAGCGAGCGAGACGGCTTGCGGGCGGGGAGGGTGTCTTGACCCCCCCACGAGGAGAAGGAGAAGGAGGAGGAGGAGGAGGAGGAGGGGGGCAAAGACAAAGACAAGCCACATGTGATCCACTTCCTGTGTCTGACTTCTACAGCAAGAGAACAAAAAAAAGCCTTGAAGTACACCAACTTCTGGATCTGCGTGCGTTCGCTGCGCTGGGCGAGCAACTGTCCAGGTCAACTCTGCAGGGGGGATGCCTGTGGCCCAATCCGGGGACCTTCCATCGGGAGAAACCTGAAGGCCTCGGAGGCGGAGGCGGAGGCGGGAGGGGAAACTGCCCCCCCGCCACCCCCTGAGAAGGCGAACACCCACCCCCGCCCCCAGTCCCGACCCCATCCCCGAACCTGCGATACAAGGGGTCGGGACTGGGGGTGGGGATGGGTTTCGGGGCCCAGGAATGGAGACAACCAACCCCCACCCCCAGTCCCGACCCCTTGAATCGCCGGCTCGGGGATGGGCGTCGGGACTGGGAGTGGGGGTGGGTTCCCAGACATGCGACGTCCTGATTTTTTCAGGACGGCGTCCCCGGAAGTCCCGACCATTTCCCTGGGGCCGGTTTTTCATCCTGAGTCGTTTTTTGACGGTTCTGGGGCCTGGCGAGGGCCCCTAGAGGCCGAAAATCATGAAACACCTCCGTCCTGATTTTTTTACGACGCGAGATCATGTCTGGGTTTTCGCCTTCTGACCCCCCCTCTCCCCTCCGAGAGCCAGGGGAAGCAGGCCATGTCTGCCACCGTGTACCGCTCGCCCACCAGGAACGTGCGGGGGCCCTCCGCGCGGGCGCCCGCGCCCCCCCGGGAGTCGCCGTGGCCGGCCAGGCGCCGCTCGAGGACGTCGCAGAGCCTCTGCACCTCCATCCCGTAGCGCGCCACGCCGTAGTCGCGGGCCTCCGCCTGGTCCTCGGGGGGGGGGGGCAAAGAGACGAAGGCCCCCTCGCGTCGTGGACAAAAACACGACACGACGGAGGGCGTGTCGCCAACTTCGGCCTCTGGGGGCCCTCGCCGGGCCCCGTGGCCGTCAAAAAACAGGCGCAGCGGATGAAAAACGGGTCCCGGGGAATGGGTCGAGACCTCTGGGGGTCGACGTTATGAAACAGTGATGACGCGGGGGTCTGGAGACGCGTACCACGACCAAGACTGAGCGCGGAAAGAAGTCGATCTTGGCCATCGTCCATCGTCCATCCAGGTCATCGCCACTCCGTGGATAATCCTCGCGAAATCGGCGACGGCCGGAATGGACAACGACCAAGATCGGCGTCGACAAGATCCCTCGACATCTTGGGCGTGGTCATCGTGTGGACCAGTTCACAAACGACACCACCCCACCGACGGCCCCACGGGGCAGAGCGTATGACGTATACCAGGAAATCTGGCGTGGGCATTTTGCGTGACACACGCTACGGCCCCCGATGAGACGCAGCGCAACAGGGAGGGCCGTCGGTGGGGTGGTGTTGTTTATTTCTTGGTCGATCGTAGGAGGAGGGGAAGTAGGAGTAGGAGGAGGAGGAGGAGGACGACGACGGCGACGACGACAACGAGGAGGAGAAGGAGGAGGAGGAGGCGGAGGAGGCGGAGGTGGAGAAGGAGGAGGAGGAGGAGGCGGAGGAGGAGGAGGGGAAGGAGGCGGAGGAGGCGGAGGAGGAGGAGAAGGAGGAGGACGAGGAGGAGGAGGAAGAGGAGGAGGAGGAGGAGGAGGAAGAGGAGGAGGAGGAGGAGGAGGAGGAGGAGGAGGAGGAGGAGGAGCAGGGGGGAGGGGGAGGAGGAGGAGGAGGAGGAGGAGGGAGGAGGAGGAGGAGAAGGAGGAGGAGGTGGTGTCGTTTGTTTTTCGGTCGATCGGGCTTCCGCCCTCGAGGCTCCGCGGGCGCGTACACCATGAAGTGCCCGTAGTTCCCCGTGATGGGGCCCTGCCCGGCCGCCTGCCAGAAGAGCCACTGCAGGCACTCCCCCCGCAGCCGGGGGTCCGAGGGCAGGAAGCCCCTGTCGGGAAACTTCTCTTAGAAGAAGGAAGGGCGGCGTGCAGACGTGCTTCAGCGGACTTCTCCGTGGACTTCTGCCAATGCAACACCCCGAAACGGCAGGCGAAAACAAAAACAATGAATTTCACGTGGATGTTTGTTGGTCTGCATTCCTGGCCCAAAAAATCCACACGAAATTCACTTCGAAATCCGGAACGAAATTCTCCGGGACACTCTTGGCCCATTCTATCGTTTTCCGAACGAAATCCGCTCTGCGATGTTGGCGCCATGAGACGTGATCGCGTCGTAAAATATCAGGAAGGGCGTGTTTGGGATATTTTCGGTCCTGGGGGGCCCTCGCCGGGCCTTGGGACCGTCAAAAAGCAACTCAGGATGAAAAACAGGCCCCGGGGAAAGGGTCTGGACTTCAGGGGACGCCTTACTGAAAAAATCAAGACGTCGCACGTCTGGGAACCTAACCTTTGGGAGATCCATGCGGATTCCTGAGGTCGGCGCTGAGCCACCCCTCCAGGGCGCACGGGGCGCGCCAGGGTTTCGACGCTGGAGGTGTCGCAGGGGCTTCGGGGGGGCGAGGCGCCGATGCAATAAATCCGCGAGGAGCTCCGAACATGTCGTGTTCTGCCGCTCTTGGTTCTTCGACTCTCGCACAGATACACCATGATCGCGCAGCTCTCCTAGGAGGCCTCCCACATGGGGTCGGAGCATAGATGAGATCGGAGGATCGCGGAGCATCGCCGAGTCATCGCCGATGCATCGCCGATGCATCGCCAACGCATCGGCGATGCATCGGCGACGCATCCGCGACGTCGGCGTGGAGAAGATCGGGCTCCACCATGAGCCGCATCGCCGATGCATCGGCGAGGCGGCGCAATGCTCTGGTCCCATCTTCTCGGAAACCATCTGGGAGGCCTGGGATGAGGAGGAGGCGGAGGAGGAAGAGGAGGAATAGGCGGAGGAGGACGACCCGTGTAAACCCAAGATGCATCAACGATGTTATAATACAATCTCCCTCCAAGCTTCCTCTTCATAGACCCCTACAAGCAATCATGTCCACTGAGGAGTGACCCGTGGGGAGACAACCGTTTGAAGACCCTGAAGCGTGCCAAAACACCATTCTCGGGACTCCAACCCCACGACTCAACAGGACTGTTGAGTCTTGACGGTCCTGAATCGCGCCAGAGCTCCAGTCTTGGTATTTCAACCTCGCGAATCAACGTAACTCTTGCGCCCTGACAACCCTGAATCGCTCCAAAACACAAATTCTGGTACGCTGACCACTGGAATCCGTGAAACTCTTGGGAAGGTTTAAAACGAATGTGCTCAGCGCTGAGGCGAGAACCACATTCAAAAAACGAGCCGCCCTCAGCGTGAACGTTTTCTCATTCGGCGGTGCGACATTGGGCGGGCGGGGGGGGGGAGTGGGGGGGTCTGCTTCGGGCGACCGTTTGCAGCAGGGCATCCATGATGGGGGAGACTCCACCTGCTCGAAACAGGCACCCAAAACAACCAAGATCTACTCCACGCGGGGGGGGGAGGGCATGCGAGGGCCTGCGCCGATCGACACAGCAAGGAATAAGAGAACGGCAGCAGTCCGTAAAATTCTTACTACTATTCGAAACAAAGGCGCGCGGCGCTTGAACGAGAACCACAGTTTGAAAACGGCCCGCCCTCCATTCGTGAAACTCCTACAACTTTCTGCCACGAATGAGCGCGGCGCTGAAGCGGCAACCACACTTTGAAAACCACCCGCCCTCCATCCGTGAAGCTCTTGCAACTGTTTAACACCTAATGCGCGCGGCGCTAAAGGCGGGAGCCACATTTTGAAAACCAGCCGCCCTCCATCTGTGAACCTGTTGCCAATGTGTAATTTTCAGGGCCACAGGTGTAGAGAGGAAGTCGCAAACGAAACGCCCAGGCCGCCCCTTGGACCGGCCCCGGGGCACGACAGGGAGAGTTATTTACAAGGGAAAGGGATGGAGGAGGAGGAGGAGGACGAGGAGGAGGAGGAGTAGGGGGAGGAGGAGGAAGAGGAGGAGGAGGAGGAGGAGGGAGAGGAGGAGGAGGAGGAGGAGGAGGAGGAGGAGGAGGAGGTCAAGCTAGGTGCGTGCGCTCGCGCCTCATCTGACATCCGATCCCTCCCTCCCATCACTTCCCTCCCATCACTCCCCATGGCGCTGATGTTTCTCTATCCGCGCACGCGTGTCATAGCCGATCTGCGACTCCCACAGAAAGACCACTTCGTGTTATGCGCAATCGGAAAAAAAAGAGCGCTGCGTGCACAGGAGGCGAAGGTGGCGGGTGAGCCGGAGGATGAGCGGGAGGAAAAGGAGGAGGACGAACAGCAGCATCAGGAACTAAAGCGGACGACTCGGAAGGAAAAGGGGACAAGTGGGGGCGACAACGATGAAGAAAGACCCAGATTGAGAAAAGTTGCCCGCCCTGGGGCGAAATGAGCAGCAACCACAGAAACTGGAATGGAAGCGGGAGGAACAGGAGGACCCGGGGATGTCGGTGGAATGGGAATGGAGGGGGACCACAATGAAGCAAGACTCTGATCCAGAAGTGGCCCGCGCTGCGGCGAGAGCGCCACTCTGAACGACGGGAGCAAAGCGCCGATCTGAAAATGAGGCCCACGCTGCAGCGGGAGTGAAACAAACATGAGAAACATGAAATCCTGTGTGTAACAAAAAATGAGACGCCGAGGGGGCGGGAGATCTTCCTGACAACTTCACGGGAGGAAGGGGAGTCGCATTCATATGGCTTGGCTGCAAATGAAGTAAATGCTGAACGACAGAAGAAGCGCTGGCGGAGGCGGAGGCGGAGGAGGAGGAGGAAGGGGGAGGAGGAAGAGGAGGCGGAGGAAGAGGAGGAGGAGGAGGAGGAGGACCAGTAGGAGGAGGACGAGGAGGACGAGGAGGAGAACGGGGAGGAGGAGGAGGAGGAGGAGGAGGAGGAGGAGGGGGAGGAAGAGGAGGAGGCGGAGGAAGAGGAGGAGGAGGAGGAAAATCGAGGATCGAGGATGCTCGGGAGTCCGCGGTCGACCACGCCGCCGCGGCCCCGCGCGCGCCCTCGCTAGGCGCGCGTCGGGCACCGTCAGGAGCCTGGGAGGGCGCGAGGCCTGCCGCAGCAGGCGGCTACCTCCCCCTCACTACCACTCCAGGGCAGAATATCTCTACGGGGGGGGGGGACGTTGTTCAACCTCCCCCCGAATCATGAACTCCCACAGGTCAACCTCGAACAGCACTACGGTGTCCATCAGCTGCTCGTCGAACCTTGGGCATCTTTCTTCCGTTCGGGGGCCACGTTCCATCTGGCCAACATTGTCCAGCCTTGGGCGGCAGCCCTATCCGTAATCGCTTCAATACCGTCTCTCCACTGGGCGTGACCCTGTCTCTGCACTCGTTGGCGAGCAGTGTCGGTCTTCCTCGTCCGTCGCTAGTGTGAGAAGCCACCAGCGCACACCTCCAACGCCAAAACTGGCCATGGGCGACGGCGACGTGGTGGCTCGGGTGGATCACCTTGTCGTCTATGTCGGTCATCTCGTTGTTGGGTGCTGGTACTGCATGCCCATAGTATGCTCGATGGGTTTCGTACTGTCTTCCAGCTCACATGTTAGTCTTCATCCAGTCAATCACACTGCAGTTGCCTGGCGATTTCCAACATTCTTTGCAAACCCACTGGCCCTTCTGCTTGTTCAAGTTGTGCCCAGTCTCTTGCTCTAACTGCTGTCGTCGCTGTCTGGCGACAGGTCCCGGTGCAGAGGATGGTCGGTCATGCTTTAGCGCGCCCACTTCCTTGCAGATTTCGAAGTCGATGGCTGCCGCTCGCCTGTGAACCATTATGAGCAATCTCTCCGTGCCCGCCAGCTGCTGCACTTCTTTTTCAGATGTCGTAGCGTGCTTCTTCGGCTCCTCGCTACGCCAGAGTGTCCGCAATGTCGTTGCCAACGCTGGTCTCAGGCGACTGCTTCGGCAAAGCTATGGACTCGCGGTCGAGGTGGGTGTCGCATTTGATGACTCTGGCTCCTTCATCGCGTCCTGGTCGTCTCTGAATCAGTGGGCCTATTCCTTGCCACCGCCCACTCATTGTCCCTTGCGGCCTCTGGTAGAGCTGCTGGTGTCACCCATTAGCCACCTGCTGGCAGTCCGTGTAGATGGTGATAGGACCGCTGGCAAGCATGAGGGCCCAGAAAAATGCCGCGTGCTCTGCTGCAGGTACTGATTGTTCGCCGTCTACTGTGCCACAATATCCCCTGTGCGTCGCGCCTTCGATGCTCCCATCGTTCGGGTTAGGATTGTCCGGCAAAACGGGCTGGGCGCCAGCGCCTCCCAATGCGCCCCCGCCTCCTGTGGAAGGGGCGCCCTGGGCGCTGGTCACCTGCCCAGGCGACATGAACCCAAGGCTCGGGCCTGCCAAGCTCCGCTCCTCGGGATTTGCCATAGGTTGCTGTCCAGCATCAGGTTCTGATTGTTCGCCGTCCACTGTGCCGAAGTATCCTTTGTGCGTCGTGCCTTCCACTCTTCCATCGTTCGGGTTGGGGTCGACCGGCAAAACGGGCCGGGCGCCAGCGCCGCGCGCTGTGCCCCCGCACCCTGTGGAAGAGGTGCCCTGGGCGCTGGTCACCTGCCCAGGCGACGGGAACCCAGGGCGCGGGCCTGCCAAGCTCCGCTCCTCGGGATTTGCCGTCGGTTGCTGCTCACCCACATAAGATTCTGGATCATATTCTTCGAAGGTGGGTGCTCGGTCTTGCAGTAACTGTCGGGGGTGTTTTTTGATTTCTCGGACACTGGCCCACCACTGTGCAAGGTAGACTTCACGTTCTCGCCCATGTAGTGTTTGAAGATGTCCGAATACCGCTTGTCTTCGGCTCCTCGTTGTTGTCCATGATCCATCGCGCATGCCCTTCGCTATCTGGTTGACGTCCGTGGTTTGATATATTTCTGCGAGCTGTCGTAGTAGGCCTGCGCGTTCTGGTAAGTGTAGCCATGTCTCCATGCACGGCACACATCACATCTTCCAGTTACTCTCGCTGATCTCCTGGTCGTTGCTGAGGTCCACCGCCCACGAAGAAGCCCAGACTCCCATGCCATGTGTGATGTCGAGCGCTGGTTGGTTAGCAGGGTCTGGTCTTGGTAGATATGCCTGCTCCTTGTCGGCGACGTCCTGCTTCTCGATTGCATGGCGCCAGAGCACTTCGCACCCTGATCCTGTCGTTGGTTTCTCTGTCGAGTTGTGTAGCTGAAGCGCGGCCCCCCACCCAACGCGATTGCTGCGCACGTCGCTGCTGGTCCCCGAACCGTCGATGTAGGCATACTTGCAGCAATGAGGCCTTGTCGCTGTCTTCGTGTCGGGAACTACTAGGGGCCCTCTGCGCTCGGCACTCCAACATCCTCCACCCCCACCCCCCCAGGCAGGGGGTTCTGGAACATGATTACGATGTCGGGGTAGAAGTCCACGTAGCCACAAAGCCTCGCTCTCAGGGTCCTGATCCATCTCGTCCAGCGCCTGCTTGCAGATGTATGTGTCTTGGTGATGTCTCCCACGTTGAAGTGTCTATTCGTCTCACGCCCGTAGATCCTGTGCTTGAACGTGTCGGACGTTTTGCCGCCCCTCGTACAGATACCGTATGTGGCATACCCCGCCGCTCTGCATCTTTCTCATGTCCAGATTGTCCCGCAAGCGA